AGAAACCTTAAAATCATAGAATATTCTACTTTCCTCTTCAATTAATATTTGAATTTTTTCCAGCTATACAGCATTAAATAAGAAATATTTTACAATATTAATTTCATAGTGATTAATTCAAGCAGTCTGGAAACGATAATCAAAAGCACAATGAATAAGTAGAAGAAAAATATTAATCCAATATTAAGAATCAAATTTCGTGATTAATACCCCATTTACTTGAAATACTCATTAAAAGTATCTTCTTCATCACCTTCTTAAATTTCATATTTAAACAATAATGAAATAGCTTTATTTGTGTCGATGAACTGAAAACTAGATACATCTAGAATAAAGCTATAAAATAAAGCAATATTTGCAGGTATGCTGATAGTCATAAGAGGAAGATGTGTTATTAATTAAAAGCTATTAATCATCCCCCATAAAAATTATATAGAATGCGCACTAAATAGTGTTAAAATTTCTTGATAATTACATTAATAAGTTTAATACCATATTTGATCCGATAACACTTGAAAGAGTTATCTATATAATATATCCGATACGACTCAAAGACCATTCCAGTTCTATCACATAATTAAAAAAAAATTTTTCAGTAAATTTACCAGATGAAAACTGAGGAGGAATCTAATAGTAAATTTCATAATTTTTTGGGATTACGTATTATCACTATTCATCGGTATATAGATAATTTACTTTGAAAACGACTTTAAGGTTGTCCCAAACCTAATTAGTATAAAAAATAAATAATTTTTACTGATAATTTAGAAATCTCAAGTGATTCTGTAAACATTAAAATGATATAAAGTTTTCTATCTTTGTAAGAATTCACTATAAAATCAACTTTGTATAAAACCTCTTAAATTTCTACATATATTTCAAGACTGTTCTGTAATTTTTTAATGGGTCCCTAATTTTAATGCAGTTTTTTATCAAATAAAATTGTTAGTTAAGCTTATCTTCCTATCTCAAGTATCCTTGCACTTAGATTTCCTTTTATTTTACTTGATATATTCCTTTAAAATTCTACATAATCATCAAAGTATTCTGAGTTATTTCTTATAACCTCATAAATGTCTTAAAATGGATTAGTTTTTACTCTGATTATCAAGATATAAAAACTTTGCTTAGAGTATTCATTTTTGTCAGTAATAATAATTTTTATAATATGATCCCCGACTACTTCTTTAATTGGTTCAACTACTATTTATGTTTAACTTATTTCTAAAAATAAACTTGCAATTGCTGATTGATATCCAATAATATACTAATCATTTTCAAGGTCAAATACATCAGGTAGTTAATATTCTTTTTTTACTTCAACAGTGCATATCATATCTTATATTGCTGTGAGAAATATGGGTGGAGTATTTGGTTTTACCTAATATTTTCCTGTCTAATGGAGATTTTTAAGAGTAATAGAATATTCATACCATACATTGAATTGTGGGTGTTTTGTGACGTTATCAATAACTTTAAAAAAGAGATACAAATCATATAATCCTTCCTTATTTGAATCTATCACATTGATAAAATAAATCTTGTAATTTAACTTCTAAGTGTCGATAAAATTAATAGACTTTTTATCTTTAGATATCAAACTAACCTCGAATTAGAACTTATTTGGTGTTGTATCATTTAATTTTGGAAAATCAATTGAATATTTTATATATCCAGCCCCAATGATGTACAATTAATTTGTTAAATTGGGACCTTAAGTTACATAAACAGAAGATTCTTTTCCAAAATAAGTATTATTTTCACAAAATTCACAAACATTTATTCTTAACTCCTCTCCTGCTACTAAAAAAAGATTCTTGCTATCATAAAAGAAGTAAAGAATTTAAAGTCTATGTAGACCTATTTAATCTTATCAATTTGGCTATATATAAATATCTTTTGTTACTAATGCAGATACTTATTCAAGACTAAAATTAGGTTGTAAATTTGCTGATTCAGTGATATTCTTGAATTCTCTCATTAAATAGAACAACATGTTTGAGACATCTTAGCATTAATTAAGCAAATCAAAATGAATCGTTAAAATATCACATTGTTACATCAATGAGCAATTGACTGTTTTATCGCTATCTGACACAAATTTCTTTAAATAGTTAGTAGTCATATTAATCGGGAAATCAGTTGATGTATATTTATCAAATTATACATTTGGCCAGAATCTATTATATTAAAGCAAGTATTCTTGAATCTTAAGTGGATAGAGTGAAATATTTTGTGGCTATCTCAGGTTTTCTGTAATTAATGTGAGATCAAATTTATTAGCAAGGACAATTTTTTCCATTTTAACTTTGAATGAGCCTGGTACATCAATTAATAACTATTGATAACTTCCAGATGAAAAAGTTATAAAACTATTATTGAAACCATTTTTTGCCAAATATCCAGCATGAAAAAATGAAGATTTATGTTATAGAAATTTAGTATGCCTTATTCTTATTTTATCTGTATTTGTATAAGCAATTATAGAATTTAAGTTCAACTAAGGAGTTTCTAAAAGTGTATCATTTAGTGTAAATGATAAAACAATTATGAGAGTTTAATCTTTGTTTTAATAGTCCTAATAAAATATCTAGAAATTGCCAGCAGTTTAATTAGAAATTCCAACACATGTTAAATCAAAAGAGCTTGACTACTCAGATTATGTTGTGATGTCTTTCATGTAAATTTTGTCCTCGCCTTATTAATTATGAATATAAAATCCTAAAATTTAATTCCCTCATCTTCTTTGTAAGCAGCCAATGATAGTCTAGTCTATGTATTCAAAGATGCTAACAATTAGACTATATCCAGATTTTGAGGCAATATTAAATGTAGGCACTTTATACTAATTTTGCTAGTTATCCAGGTCAATTTAATGGAAAAATAATCCATAATTGGTTGATGCAGAATTAACACCACTAATAAAAAGCGTATTAGTTAAGGGTATCAACACAATAAATCCTATCCTGGTGTTTTACTCTTAAAATGATAATTTCGTAAGTACTATACTAAGATCATCTGAAATAATATATAAACATGCACGCTATTCATAATTTTGAGTGGCAAATAGTACAGTGTTATTCTTTCCAAAATCAGTAGTATGTATAAGAATAACTTATGAGAACTATCCTTAAATTTAAATTCCTTTAGGATATCTTCCTTGTAAATCAAGAATAAATAAGTAATGATAAGTATTAATACTGGGTTATTCATCAATACTTCTTGCAGCTGCATATATTTTATTATTTCTGTTCATTAAAGACTCTATCTCTGATATCTAAAGGCCTTGATACAATTGACCATTTATCTAATAAGAATGCAACCAAAGTAGTCTCTCGAAACCCTGTTAGTTATCAAAGAATCCAATCATTGGAATAGAGCCATATTGTCCACCAAAATAGAGATAATCATTAGTAAAATCATAATTCACCACATTGACTTTACTATTTACATTTCTGTCTACACCAAATAGTAAAGGTAGTTACTCTACTCCAAAGCATTTTTTTGGTATTCTAATACAATTAATATATAAAGATTGATTTACACTTAAGATAGTAGATTTGAAATAATGATAAGGTAAATGTATCCTTTTAATCCTAACATTTTATTGCTTTAAGTCATTTATTGATAATTTTTTCTTAAACTCATTGGCTTTATTTGATTTTCTGAATGAAAATCTTCTGAGGACCTTTAATTTCTATTTTATTAATCCAACTAAATTTGATGCTAAACTTTGTTTGTTAGCGGTTAGAGTATTAATTGAACCTCTAGTTTTTACAATATAGTATCTTAATGCATCTTTTATATTATAATTATGAAAATTAAATCTTGTAATACTAATATAAAGTTTATTAATTTAAAAAATATCTAATAATTCTTACAATTACATAATAGTGGGGTTTTGGGGTTTTGGGG